GAGGGGATTGAGAGCAATCAAGAGAGGCGAATGGGCAATGAGAGGAGGGGAGTGGGCCGCTGCGGCAACTTGCTGTTGAAGGAGGAGGGTGGGGAGCACGGCATGATGAGCCACCACCTCACGTCCTTACAACATGGTTTGCCCCTCTCACCGTCGTGCTGCCACGCTTGCCCCTCTCACCGTCGTGCTGCCACGCTTGCCCCTCTCACCGTCGTGCTGCCACGCTTGCCCCTCTCACCGTCGTGCTGCCACGCTTGCCCCTCTCACCGTCGTGCTGCCACGCTTGCCCCTCTCACCGTCGAGCTGCCACGCTTGCCCCTCTCATCGTCGTGCTGCCACGCTTGCCCCTCTCACCGTCGAGCTGCCACGCTTGCCCCTCTCACCGTCGTGCTGCCACGCTTGCCCCTCTCACCGTCGTGCTGCCACGCTTGCCCCTCTCACCGTCGTGCTGCCACGCTTGCCCCTCTCACCGTCGTGCTGCCACGCTTGCCCCTCTCACCGTTGTGCTGCCACGCTTGCCCCTCTCACCGTCGTGCTGCCACGCTTGCCCCTCTCACCGTCGTGCTGCCACGCTTGCCCCTCTCACCGTCGTGCTGCCACGCTTGCCCCTCTCACCGTCGTGCTGCCACGCTTGCCCCTCTCACCGTCGTGCTGCCACGCTTGCCCCTCTCACCGTCGTGCTGCCACGCTTGCCCCTCTCACCGTCGTGCTGCCACGCTTGCCCCTCTCACCGTCGTGCTGCCACGCTTGCCCCTCTCACCGTCGTGCTGCCACGCTTGCCCCTCTCACCGTCGTGCTGCCACGCTTGCCCCTCTCACCGTCGTGCTGCCACGCTTGCCCCTCTCACCGTCGAGCTGCCACGCTTGCCCCTCTCACCGTCGTGCTGCCACGCTTGCCCCTCTCACCGTCGTGCTGCCACGCTTGCCCCTCTCACCGTCGTGCTGCCACGCTTGCCCCTCTCACCGTCGTGCTGCCACGCTTGCCCCTCTCACCGTCGAGCTGCCACGCTTGCCCCTCTCACCGTCGTGCTGCCACGCTTGCCCCTCTCACCGTCGTGCTGCCACGCTTGCCCCTCTCACCGTCGTGCTGCCACGCTTGCCCCTCTCACCGTCGTGCTGCCACGCTTGCCCCTCTCACCGTCGTGCTGCCACGCTTGCCCCTCTCACCGTCGTGCTGCCACGCTTGCCCCTCTCACCGTCGTGCTGCCCCGCTTGCCCCTCTCACCGTCGTGCTGCCACGCTTGCCCCTCTCACCGTCGTGCTGTCACGCTTGCCCCTCTCACCGTCGAGCTGCCACGCTTGCCCCTCTCACCGTCGTGCTGCCACGCTTGCCCCTCTCACCGTCGTGCTGCCACGCTTGCCCCTCTCACCGTCGTGCTGCCACCCTTGCCCCTCTCACCGTCGTGCTGCCACGCTTGCCCCTCTCACCGTCGTGCTGCCACGCTTGCCCCTCTCACCGTCGTGCTGCCACGCTTGCCCCTCTCACCGTCGTGCTGCCCCGCTTGCCCCTCTCACCGTCGTGCTGCCACGCTTGCCCCTCTCACCGTCGTGCTGCCACGCTTGCCCCTCTCACCGTCGAGCTGCCACGCTTGCCCCTCTCACCGTCGTGCTGCCACGCTTGCCCCTCTCACCGTCGTGCTACCACGCTTGCCCCTCTCACCGTCGTGCTGCCACGCTTGCCCCTCTCACCGTCGTGCTGCCACGCTTGCCCCTCTCACCGTCGTGCTGCCACGCTTGCCCCTCTCACCGTTGTGCTGCCACGCTTGCCCCTCTCACCGTCGTGCTGCCACGCTTGCCCCTCTCACAGTCGAGCTGCCACGCTTGCCCCTCTCACCGTCGTGCTGCCACGCTTGCCCCTCTCACCGTCGTGCTGCCACGCTTGCCCCTCTCACCGTCGTGCTGCCACGCTTGCCCCTCTCACCGTCGTGCTGCCACGCTTGCCCCTCTCACCGTCGTGCTGCCACGCTTGCCCCTCTCACCGTCGTGCTGCCACGCTTGCCCCTCTCACCGTCGTGCTGCCACGCTTGCCCCTCTCACCGTCGTGCTGCCACGCTTGCCCCTCTCACTGTCGTGCTGCCACGCTTGCCCCTCTCACCGTCGTGCTGCCACGCTTGCCCCTCTCACCGTCGTGCTGCCACGCTTGCCCCTCTCACCGTCGTGCTGCCACGCTTGCCCCTCTCACCGTCGAGCTGCCACGCTTGCCCCTCTCATCGTCGTGCTGCCACGCTTGCCCCTCTCACCGTCGAGCTGCCACGCTTGCCCCTCTCACCGTCGTGCTGCCACGCTTGCCCCTCTCACCGTCGTGCTGCCACGCTTGCCCCTCTCACCGTCGTGCTGCCACGCTTGCCCCTCTCACCGTCGTGCTGCCACGCTTGCCCCTCTCACCGTCGTGCTGCCACGCTTGCCCCTCTCACCGTCGTGCTGCCACGCTTGCCCCTCTCACCGTCGTGCTGCCACGCTTGCCCCTCACACCGTCGTGCTGCCACGCTTGCCCCTCTCACCGTCGTGCTGCCACGCTTGCCCCTCTCACCGTCGTGCTGCCACGCCCCCTCTCACCGTCGTGCTGCCACGCTTTCCCCTCTCACCGTCGTGCTGCCACGCTTGCCCCTCTCACCGTCGTGCTGCCACGCTTGCCCCTCTCACCGTCGTGCTGCCACGCTTGCCCGTCTCACCCCCAATGCAAGCCCCTCTTGGCAGCACGTATGCCTTGCAGAGCCGCTGGTAGGGGGCCAGTGAGGCAGCACACATGCATTCCCCCTCACCCACCCGCATGTGCGCCTTGCAGATCAGCTGGAGGCGGTGAGCAGCGCCAGATCCAGCGAGGGGGGCGGGGCCAGGCAGGTGCACAGCACACATGTGATGTGACATGCATCCTCCCACACGAGGCACTGCCTCGTGTCCTCACCCGCCCACACGAGGCACTGCCTCATGTCCTCACCCGCCCACACGAGGCACTGCCTCATGTCCTCACCCGCCCACACGAGGCACTGCCTCATGTCCTCACCCTCCCACACGAGGCACTGCCTCATGTCCTCACCCTCCCACACGAGGCACTGCCTCATGTCCTCACCCTCCCACACACCACGCTTACCCGCACGTAGGCCTTGCAGAGAAGCTGGTAGGCGGTTATCAGCGCCAGATCAAGGGAGGGCGGTGGCAGGTGCACAATGCACATGTGACAAGCATTCCTGCCCACACACTCCTCTCACTCACCCGCACGTATGCCTTGCAGAGTAGCTGGTAGGCGGTTATCAGCGCCAGATCCAGTGAGGGGGGCGGGGGCGACACAGCACACATGCATTCCCATCGCCTCATCACCTCACCCACACGTACGCGTTGCACCCTATTCATCTGCTCACATGCCACACTCACCCGCACGTATGCCTTGCAGAGTAGCCGGTAGGCGGTTATCAGCGCCATATCCAGTGAGGGGGGCGGGGGCGACACAGCACACATGCATTCCCATCGCCTCATCACCTCACCCACACGTACGCGTTGCACCCTATTCATCTGCTCACATGCCACACTCACCCGCACGTATGCCTTGCAGAGTAGCTGGTAGGCGGTTATCAGAGCCAGATCCAGTGAGGGCGGTGGCGGCGAGGGGGGTGGGACTGCTGCCGGCTTGCGGCGAGCTTTGCGGGAGGAAGGGGCTGCGACAGGGTGAGGGGCATGGGGATGGGATGAGGGGCATGGGGATGGGTTGAAGTTTATGGGGATAGGGTGAGGGGCATGGGTGAGCAGAGCCAAATCAAGGGAGGGGGGTGGGGGCGAGGGGGGTGGGGCTGCCACCGGCTTGCGACGAGCCTTGCGGGAGGGAGGGGCTGCAATGGAGTGAGGGGCAAGGGAATGGGGAGGGGACAGAAAGGAAGGGGGAGATGCAGGTGCGGAAGGGGTTGTGAGAATCTCATGGACGATTAGAGGCACGATTGTTAGGGTGACTATAACTTTCGAAAATCTTCGAACCCAACCTTTGGAAGGCAGATAATTTGGCGGGTTGGAACTCAGCGTTTGTTGTATACCCAACCTCTGAATAGGTCGCGTCGGGTGTCCGTTTTTTATTGCAATAGAAGTGTTGTAACAGAGTGGGTGTGGCACATGCAAGAGAAAACGGGTGATGGGAGAAAAAGGGTGGAGGCACACCTGTAAAAGGTTTTTGCAGGGAAGCTTCCCGGGCAGAGACGTTGTGGATGAGCGTGGCCAGCACACTGTCTAAGTACCTGCATGCATGGCAAGATGGAGTTATTTGAGAGGTGGTGCAGGCAGATAGAGAGGTGAGGTAGTGTTACGCAAAGGTGCTACACAAAGGTGTTAAAGGGAGGGTGCACATTCCTCTTGGTTGGGCCTCGGTTTATCTCTTGCTCAACCCCTTTTAATCGCGCGGACGATTTCGACTTCGTAAACCTGCCCGATTTTTGCCAAAAACTGCCATGTTGTATGTGCACTCTGGTTTTAAGGTGTTATGTAAAGGTGTTATGTGAAGGTGATATGTAAAGGTGTTATGTGAAGGTGTTATGTAAAGGTGTTACGTAAAGGTGCAATGTAAAGGTGTTATGATGTAAAGGTGTAATGTGAAGAGTTTATGTGAAGGTGGTATGTGCAGGTGTTATGTGAGTGAATGTGTATCAAGAATGCCAATGAAATGTGGCATTTGGTAGCCATGTGCCTGTGAGAAAACGTGAGGAAGAAAGAACCATTGAGTTGATTAGGATAGATGGGGGTATACATAGTAGTGCCAAGGGAGGGGGTTTGGTTGGAACCAAGCCAACATTATTGGCCCCCACCAATAAGTTGGGTTGAGGGATTATTGGGAGGACCAATAATGTTGACCAAGTGGTTCAACATTATTGGGGGGACCAATAATTCCCAACCCAACCTTGGGGACCAAGGTTTGAGTTCCAACTTTCAACTAGGGTTAGCCCTAGTTCTACACCCAAACTGAGTTTGGGTGGCTATCTCTAACCTAAGCTTATAGGATTGATGTAGGTTACAATGAGGATGGTAATCTGACAGTGCCATGTGCCATGTGCCATGTGCCATGATGTGGCATGTGTCAAGGACATGGATGGATACATGCAATGCGCACACATACATGCACAGCCACACATGCAGCCATGTACGCACATTCTTGCACGCAACCATGCGTGCACTCATCCACCCATACGGCCACCCCTCCAGACCATGCAACTATGCATACAGGCCCATTCACAGTGACAAACATGTCAAGGCTGATAGCGACCAGCAGCAGCAACCACAGAGAGCAGGGTAGCGACAAGCAGGTGACTTCCATGTGGGAGATGCATGACATGACATGGCATGGCGTGTCTGGTGGGACGCACCAGAAGGCAGAGAGGAACTCAGAGGGCGCATAGAGGCGCGTGGAGAAGCCGAGGGGTGTAAGAGGGACGGCATGTGGGAGCCATGGTGTGGTGTGGTATCACATGTGGCATGGCATGGTGTGATGAGGCAGGCAGGACGCACCAGAAGGCAGAGAGGAACTCAGAGGGGGCATAGAGGCGCGTGGAGAAGCCGAGCAGTAGATAGCGAATGACGATGCGACACGTGTGCTCCACAACCCAGCTGGTCGCCACACTCTCCCTCCACCACCCCTGGTATCAGAGCAGCATTGAGAGGGAAGGGAGGGGTGGGGAAAGAGTGCACAGGGAGGGGGCCGAAAATGATGCCAACAGATAAACATCACATGCACCTCTCGAACATGCACCTCTCGAACATGCACCTCTCGAACATGCACCTCTCGAACATGCACCTCTCGAACATGCACCTCTCGAACATGCACCTCTCGAACATGCACCTCTCGAACATGCACCTCTCGAACATGCACCTCTCGAACATGCACCTCTCGAACATGCACCTCTCGAACATGCACCTCTCGAACATGCACCTCTCGAACATGCACCTCTCGAACATGCACCTCTCGAACATGCACCTCTCGAACATGCACCTCTCGAACATGCACCTCTCGAACATGCACCTCTCGAACATGCACCTCTCGAACATGCACCTCTCGAACATGCACCTCTCGAACATGCACCTCTCGAACATGCACCTCTCGAACATGCACCTCTCACCTCTCGAACATGCACCTCTCGAACATGCACCTCTCGAACATGCACCTCTCGAACATGCACCTCTCGAACATGCACCTCTCGAACATGCACCTCTCGAACATGCACCTCTCGAACATGCACCTCTCGAACATGCACCTCTCGAACATGCACCTCTCGAACATGCACCTCTCGAACATGCACCTCTCGAACATGCACCTCTCGAACATGCACCTCTCGAACATGCACCTCTCGAACATGCACCTCTCGAACATGCACCTCTCGAACATGCACCTCTCGAACATGCACCTCTCGAACATGCACCTCTCGACATGCACCTCTCGAACATGCACCTCTCGAACATGCACCTCTCGAACATGCACCTCTCGAACATGCACCTCTCGAACATGCACCTCTCGAACATGCACCTCTCGAACATGCACCTCTCGAACATGCACCTCTCGAACATGCACCTCTCGAACATGCACCTCTCGAACATGCACCTCTCGAACATGCACCTCTCGAACATGCACCTCTCGAACATGCACCTCTCGAACATGCACCTCTCGAACATGCACCTCTCGAACATGCACCTCTCGAACATGCACCTCTCGAACATGCACCTCTCGAACATGCACCTCTCGAACATGCACCTCTCGAACATGCACCTCTCGAACATGCACCTCTCGAACATGCACCTCTCGAACATGCACCTCTCGAACATGCACCTCTCGAACATGCACCTCTCGAACATGCACCTCTCGAACATGCACCTCTCGAACATGCACCTCTCGAACATGCACCTCTCGAACATGCACCTCTCGAACATGCACCTCTCGAACATGCACCTCTCGAACATGCACCTCTCGAACATGCACCTCTCGAACATGCACCTCTCGAACATGCACCTCTCGAACATGCACCTCTCGAACATGCACCTCTCGAACATGCACCTCTCGAACATGCACCTCTCGAACATGCACCTCTCGAACATGCCCTCTCGAACATGCACCTCTCGAACATGCACCTCTCGAACATGCACCTCTCGAACATGCACCTCTCGAACATGCACCTCTCGAACATGCACCTCTCGAACATGCACCTCTCGAACATGCACCTCTCGAACATGCACCTCTCGAACAGCACCTCTCGAAACATGCACCTCTCGAACATGCACCTCTCGAACATGCACCTCTCGAACATGCACCTCTCGAACATGCACCTCTCGAACATGCACCCTCTCGAACATGCACCTCTCGAACATGCACCTCTCGAACATGCACCTCTCGAACATGCACCTCTCGAACATGCACCTCTCGAACATGCACCTCTCGAACATGCACCTCTCGAACATGCACCTCTCGAACATGCACCTCTCGAACATGCACCTCTCGAACATGCACCTCTCGAACATGCACCTCTCGAACATGCACCTCTCGAACATGCACCTCTCGAACATGCACCTCTCGAACATGCACCTCTCGAACATGCACCTCTCGAACATGCACCTCTCGAACATGCACCTCTCGAACATGCACCTCTCGAACATGCACCTCTCGAACATGCACCTCTCGAACATGCACCTCTCGAACATGCACCTCCTCGAAAACATGCACCTCTCGAACATGCACCTCTCGAACATGCACCTCTCGAACATGCAGCCTCTCGAACATGCACCTCTCGAACATGCACCTCTCGAACATGCCCTCTCGAACATGCACCTCTCAGAACATGCACCTCTCGAACATGCACCTCTCGAACATGCACCTCTCGAACATGCACCTCTCCGAACATGCACCTCTCGAACATGCACCTCTCGAAAATGCACCTCTAGAACATGCACCTCTCGAACATGCACCTCTCCGAACATGCACCCTCTCGAACATGCACCTCTCGAACATGCACCTCTCGAACATGCACCTCTCGAACATGCACCTCTCGAACAATGCACCTCTCGAACATGCACCTCTCGAACATGCACCTCTCGAACATGCACCTCTCCGAACATGCACCTCTCGAACATGCACCTCTCGAACATGCACCTCTCGAACATGCACCTCTCGAACATGCACCTCTCGAACATGCACCTCTCGAACATGCACCTCTCGAACATGCAACTCTCGAATACATGCACCTCTCGAACATGCACCTCTCGAACATGCACCTCTCGAACATGCACCTCTCGAACATGCACCTCTCGAACATGCACCTCTCGAACATGCACCCCCTCTCGAACATGCACCTCTCGAACATGCACCTCTCGAACATGCACCTCTCGAACATGCACCTCTCGAACATGCACCTCTCGAACATGCACCTCTCGAACATGCACCTCTCGAACATGCACCTCTCGAACATGCACCTCTCGAACATGCACCTCTCGAACATGCACCTCTCGAACATGCACCTCTCGAACATGCACCTCTCGAACATGCACCTCTTCGAACATGCACCTCTCGAACATGCACCTCTCGAACATGCACCTCTCGAACATGCACCTCTCGAACATGCACCTCTCGAACATGCACCTCTCGAACATGCACCTCTCGAACATGCACCTCTCGAACATGCAACCTCTCGAACATGCACCTCTCGAACATGCACCTCTCGAACATGCACCTCTCGAACATGCACCTCTCGAACATGAACCTCTCGAACCTCTCGAACATGCACCTCTCGAACATGCACCTCTCGAACATGCACCTCTCGAACATGCACCTCTCGAACATGCACCTCTCGAACATGCACCTCTCGAACATGCACCTCTCGAACATGCACCTCTCGAACATGCACCTCTCGAACATGCACCTCTCGAACATGCACCTCTCGAACATGCACCTCTCGAACATGCACCTCTCGAACATGCACCTCTCGAACATGCACCTCTCGAACATGCACCTCTCGAACATGCACCTCTCGAACATGCACCTCTCGAACATGCACCTCTCGAACATGCACCTCTCGAACATGCACCTCTCGAACATGCACCTCTCGAACATGCACCTCTCGAACATGCACCTCTCGAACATGCACCTCTCGAACATGCACCTCTCGAACATGCACCTCTCGAACATGCACCTCTCGAACATGCACCTCTCGAACATGCACCTCTCGAACATGCACCTCTCGAACATGCACCTCTCGAACATGCACCTCTCGAACATGCACCTCTCGAACATGCACCTCTCGAACATGCACCTCTCGAACATGCACCTCTCGAACATGCACCTCTCGAACATGCACCTCTCGAACATGCACCTCTCGAACATGCACCTCTCGAACATGCACCTCTCGAACATGCACCTCTCGAACATGCACCTCTCGAACATGCACCTCTCGAACATGCACCTCTCGAACATGCACCTCTCGAACATGCACCTCTCGAACATGCACCTCTCGAACATGCACCTCTCGAACATGCACCTCTCGAACATGCACCTCTCGAACATGCACCTCTCGAACATGCACCTCTCGAACATGCACCTCTCGAACATGCACCTCTCGAACATGCACCTCTCGAACATGCACCTCTCGAACATGCACCTCTCGAACATGCACCTCTCGAACATGCACCTCTCGAACCATGCACCTCTCGAACATGCACCTCTCGAACATGCACCTCTCGAACATGCACCTCTCGAACATGCACCTCTCGAACATGCACCTCTCGAACATGCACCTCTCGAACATGCACCTCTCGAACATGCACCTCTCGAACATGCACCTCTCGAACATGCACCTCTCGAACATGCACCTCTCGAACATGCACCTCTCGAACATGCACCTCTCGAACATGCACCTCTCGAACATGCACCTCTCGAACATGCACCTCTCGAACATGCACCTCTCGAACATGCACCTCTCGAACATGCACCTCTCGAACATGCACCTCTCGAACATGCACCTCTCGAACATGCACCTCTCGAACATGCACCTCTCGAACATGCACCTCTCGAACATGCACCTCTCGAACATGCACCTCTCGAACATGCACCTCTCGAACATGCACCTCTCGAACATGCACCTCTCGAACATGCACCTCTCGAACATGCACCTCTCGAACATGCACCTCTCGAACATGCACCTCTCGAACATGCACCTCTCGAACATGCACCTCTCGAACATGCACCTCTCGAACATGCACCTCTCGAACATGCACCTCTCGAACATGCACCTCTCGAAACATGCACCTCTCGAACATGCACCTCTCGAACATGCACCTCTCGAACATGCCACCTCTCGAACTGCACCTCTCGAACATGCACCTCTCGAACTGCACCTCTCGAACATGCACCTCTCGAACATGCACCTCTCGAACATGCACCTCTCGAACATGCACCTCTCGAACAGGCACCTCTCGAACATGCACCTCTCGAACATGCACCTCTCGAACATGCACCTCTCGAACATGCACCTCTCGAACATGCACCTCTCGAACATGCACCTCTCGAACATGCACCTCTCGAACATGCACCTCTCCCCTCGAACATGCACCTCTGGAAGCATGCACCTCTCGAACATGCACCCTCGAACATGCACCTATGCACCTCTCGAACATGCACCTCTCGAACATGCCAGCCTCTCGAACATGCACCTCTCGAACATGCACCTCTCGAACATGCACCTCTCGAACATGCACCTCTCTGAACATGCACCTCTCGAACATGCACCTCTCGAACATGCACCTCTCGAACATGCACCTCTCGAACATGCACCTCTCGAACATGCACCTCTCGAACATGCACCTCTCACCTCTCGAACATGCACCTCTCGAACATGCACCTCTCGAACATGCACCTCTCGAACATGAACCTCTCGACATGCACCTCTCGAACATGCCTCGAACCCTCTCGAACATGCACCTCTCGAACATGCACCTCTCGAACATGCACCTCTCGAAACATGCACCCTCTCGAACATGCACCTCTCGAACAATGCCACCTCTCGAACATGCACCTCTCAACATGCACCTCTCGAACTGCACCTCTCGAACATGCACCTCTCGAACATGCACCTCTCGAACATGCACTCTCGAACATGCACCTCTCGAACATGCGCAGCCTCTCGAACATGCACCTCTCGAACATGCACCTCTCGAACATGCACCTCTCGAACATGCACCTCTCGAACATGCACCTCTCGAACATGCACCTCTCGAACATGCACCTCTCGAACATGCACCTCTCGAACATGCACACTCTCGAACATGCAACCTCTCGAACATGCACCTCTCGAACATGCACCTCTCGAACATGCACCTCTCGAAACATGCACCTCTCGAACATGCACCTCTCGAACATGCACCTCTCGAACATGCACCTCTCGAACAGGCACCTCTCGAACATGCACCTCTCGAACGTGCACCTCTCGAACATGCACATCTCGAACATGCACCTCTCGAACATGCACTCCTAACAATGCACCTCTCGAACGATGCAACCTCTCGAACATGCACCTCTCGAACATGCACCTCTCGAACATGCACTCTCGAACCTGCACCTGGCGCGAACATGCACCTCTCGCAACATGCCCTCTCAACATGCACCTCTCGAACATGCACCTCTCGAACATGCACCTCTCGAACATGCACCTCTCGAACAGCACCTCTCGACATGCACCTCTCGAACATGCACCTCTCGAACATAGCACCTCTCGAACATGCACCTCTCGAACATGCCACCTCTCGAACATGCACCTCCGAACATGCACCTCTCGAACATGCACCTCTCGAACCATGCACCTCTCGAACTGCACCTCCTCGAAACTGCACCTCTATACTCTCGAACATGCACCTCTCGAACATGCACCTCTTCGAAACTCTATAACATGCACCTCTCGAACATGCACCTCTCGAACATGCACCTCTCGAACATGCACCTCTCGAACATGCACCTCTCGAACATGCACCTCTCGAACATGCACCTCTCGAACATGCACCTCTCGAACATGCACCTCTCGAACATGCACCTCTCGAACATGCACCTCTCGAACATGCACCTCTCGAACATGCACCTCTCGAACATGCACCTCTCGAACATGCACCTCTCGAACATGCACCTCTCGAACATGCACCTCTCGAACATGCACCTCTCGAACATGCACCTCTCGAACATGCACCTCTCGAACATGCACCTCTCGAACATGCACCTCTCGAACATGCACCTCTCGAACATGCACCTCTCGAACATGCACCTCTCGAACATGCACCTCTCGAACATGCACCTCTCGAACATGCACCTCTCGAACATGCACCTCTCGAACATGCACCTCTCGAACATGCACCTCTCGAACATGCACCTCTCGAACATGCACCTCTCGAACATGCACCTCTCGAACATGCACCTCTCGAACATGCACCTCTCGAACATGCACCTCTCGAACATGCACCTCTCGAACATGCACCTCTCGAACATGCACCTCTCGAACATGCACCTCTCGAACATGCACCTCTCGAACATGCACCTCTCGAACATGCACCTCTCGAACATGCACCTCTCGAACATGCACCTCTCGAACATGCACCTCTCGAACATGCACCTCTCGAACATGCACCTCTCGAACATGCACCTCTCGAACATGCACCTCTCGAACATGCACCTCTCGAACATGCACCTCTCGAACATGCACCTCTCGAACATGCACCTCTCGAACATGCACCTCTCGAACATGCACCTCTCGAACATGCACCTCTCGAACATGCACCTCTCGAACATGCACCTCTCGAACATGCACCTCTCGAACATGCACCTCTCGAACATGCACCTCTCGAACATGCACCTCTCGAACATGCACCTCTCGAACATGCACCTCTCGAACATGCACCTCTCGAACATGCACCTCTCGAACATGCACCTCTCGAACATGCACCTCTCGAACATGCACCTCTCGAACATGCACCTCTCGAACATGCACCTCTCGAACATGCACCTCTCGAACATGCACCTCTCGAACATGCACCTCTCGAACATGCACCTCTCGAACATGCACCTCTCGAACATGCACCTCTCGAACATGCACCTCTCGAACATGCACCTCTCGAACATGCACCTCTCGAACATGCACCTCTCGAACATGGCACCTCTCGAACATGCACCTCTCGAACATGCACCTCTCGAACATGCACCTCTCGAACATGCACCTCTCCGAACATGCACCTCTCGAACATGCACCTCTCGAACATGCACCTCTCGAACATGCACCTCTCGAACATGCACCTCTCGAACATGCACCTCTCGAACATGCACCTCTCGAACATGCACCTCTCGAACATGCCACCTCTCGAACATGCACCTCCTCGAACATGCACCTCTCGAACATGCACCTCTCGAACATGCACCTCTCGAACATGCACCTCTCGAACATGCACCTCCTCGAACATGCCCCTCTCGACATGCACCTCTCGAACATGCACCTCTCGAACATGCACCTCTCGAACATGCACCTCTCGAACATGCACCTCTCGAACATGCACCTCTCGAACATGCACCTCTCGAACATGCACCTCTCGAACATGCACCTCTCGAACATGCACCTCTCGAACATGCACCTCTCGAACATGCACCTCTCGAACATGCACCTCTCGAACATGCACCTCTCGAACATGCACCTCTCGAACATGCACCTCTCGAACATGCACCTCTCGAACATGCACCTCTCGAACATGCACCTCTCGAACATGCACCTCTCGAACATGCACCTCTCGAACATGCACCTCTCGAACATGCACCTCTCGAACATGCACCTCTCGAACATGCACCTCTCGAACATGCACCTCTCGAACATGCACCTCTCGAACATGCACCTCTCGAACATGCACCTCTCGAACATGCACCTCTCGAACATGCACCTCTCGAACATGCACCTCTCGAACATGCACCTCTCGAACATGCACCTCTCGAACATGCACCTCTCGAACATGCACCTCTCGAACATGCACCTCTCGAACATGCACCTCTCGAACATGCACCTCTCGAACATGCACCTCTCGAACAATGCACCTCTCGAGACATGCACCTCTCGAACATGCAACCTCTCGAACATGCGACCTCTCCGAACATGCACCTCTCGACATGCACCTCTCGAAACATGCACCTCTCGAACATGCAACCTCTCGAACATGCACCTCTCGAACAATGCACCCTCTCGAACATGCACCTCTCGAACATGCACATCTCGAACTGCACCCTCTTCGAACATGACACCTCCTCGAACATGCAGACCTCTCGAACATGCACCTCTCGAACATGCACCTCTCGAAAAATGCACCTCTCGAACATGCACCTCTCGAAACATGCACGCTCTCGAACATGCAACCTCTCGAACAGTGCACCTCTCGAACATGCACCTCTCGAACATGCACCTCTCGAACATGCACACTCTCGAACATGCACCGTCTCGAACAATGCACCTCTCCGAACATGCACCTCTCGAACATGCACCTCTCCGAACATGCACTCTCTCGAACTATGCACCCTCTCGAACATGCACCTCTCGAACATGCACCTCTCGAACTATGCACCTCTCGAACATGCACCTCTCGAACATGCACCTCTCGAACATGCACCTCTCGAACATGCACCTCTCGAACATGCACCTCTCGAACATGCACCTCTCGAACATGCACCTCTCGAACATGCACCTCTCGAACATGCACCTCTCGAACATGCACCTCTCGAACATGCACCTCTCGAACATGCACCTCTCGAACATGCACCTCTCGAACATGCACCTCTCGAACATGCACCTCTCGAACATGCACCTCTCGAACATGCACCTCTCGAACATGCACCTCTCGAACATGCACCTCTCGAACATGCACCTCTCGAACATGCACCTCTCGAACATGCACCTCTCGAACATGCACCTCTCGAACATGCACCTCTCGAACATGCACCTCTCGAACATGCACCTCTCGAACATGCACCTCTCGAACATGCACCTCTCGAACATGCACCTCTCGAACATGCACCTCTCGAACATGCACCTCTCGAACATGCACCTCTCGAACATGCACCTCTCGAACATGCACCTCTCGAACATGCACCTCTCGAACATGCACCTCTCGAACATGCACCTCTCGAACATGCACCTCTCGAACATGCACCTCTCGAACATGCACCTCTCGAACATGCACCTCTCGAACATGCACCTCTCGAACATGCACCTCTCGAACATGCACCTCTCGAACATGCACCTCTCGAACATGCACCTCCGAACATGCACCTCTCGAAACATGCACCTCTCGAACATGCACCTCTCGAACATGCACCTCTCGAACATGCACCTCTCGAACATGCACCTCTCGAACATGCACCTCTCGAACATGCACCTCTCGAACATGCACCTCTCGAACATGCACCTCTCGAACATGCACCTCTCGAACATGCACCTCTCGAACATGCACCTCTCGAACATGCACCTCTCGAACATGCACCTCTCGAACATGCCACCTCTCGAACATGCACCTCTCGAACATGCACCTCTCGAACATGCACCTCTCGAACATGCACCTCTCGAACATGCACCTCTCGAACATGCACCTCTCGAACATTGCACCCTCTCGAACATGCACCTCTCTCGAACATGCACCTCTCGAACATGCACCTCTCGAACATGCACCTCTCGAACATGCACCTCTCGAACATGCACCTCTCGAACATGCACCTCTCGAACATGCACCTCTCGAACATGCACCTCTCGAACATGCACCTCTCGAACATGCACCTCTCGAACATGCACCTCTCGAACATGCACCTCTCGAACATGCACCTCTCGAACATGCACCTCTCGAACATGCACCTCTCGAACATGCACCTCTCGAACATGCACCTCTCGACATGCACCTCTCGAACATGCACCTCTCGAACATGCACCTCTCGAACATGCACCTCTCGAACATGCACCTCTCGAACATGCACCTCTCGAACATGCACCTCTCGAACATGCACCTCTCGAACATGCACCTCTCGAACATGCACCTCTCGAACATGCACCTCTCGAACATGCACCTCTCGAACATGCACCTCTCGAACATGCACCTACTCGAACATGCACCTCTCGAACATGCACCTCTCGAACATGCACCTCTCGAACATGCACCTCTCGAACATGCACCTCTCGAACATGCACCTCTCGAACATGCACCTCTCGAACATGCACCTCTCGAACATGCACCTCTCGAACATGCACCTCTCGAACATGCACCTCTCGAACATGCACCTCTCGAACATGCACCTCTCGAACATGCACCTCTCGAACATGCACCTCTCGAACATGCACCTCTCGAACATGCACCTCTCGAACATGCACCTCTCGAACATGCACCTCTCGAACATGCACCTCTCGAACATGCACCTCTCGAACATGCACCTCTCGAACATGCACCTCTCGAACATGCACCTCTCGAACATGCACCTCTCGAACATGCACCTCTCGAACATGCACCTCTCGAACATGCACCTCTCGAACATGCACCTCTCGAACATGCACCTCTCGAACATGCACCTCTCGAACATGCACCTCTCGAACATGCACCTCTCGAACATGCACCTCTCGAACATGCACCTCTCGAACATGCACCTCTCGAACATGCACCTCTCGAACATGCACCTCTCGACATGCACCTCTCGAACATGCACCTCTCGAACATGCACCTCTCGAACATGCACCTCTCGAACATGCACCTCTCGAACATGCACCTCTCGAACATGCCCTCTCGAACATGCACCTCTCGAACATGCACCTCTCGAACAGCACCTCTCGAACATGCACCTCTCGAACGATGCACCTCTCGAACATGCACCTCTCGAACATGCACCTCTCGAACATGCACCTCTCGAACATGCACCTCTCGAACATGCACCTCTCGAACATGCACCTCTCGAACATGCACCTCTCGAATCATGCCAACCTCTCGAACATGCACCTCTCGAACATGCACCTCTCGAACATGCACCTCTCGAACCATGCACCTCTCGAACATGCACCTCTCGAACATGCACCTCTCGAACATGCACCTCTCGAACATGCCACCTCTCGAACATGCACCTCTCGAACATTGCACCTCTCGAACATGCACCTCTCGAACATGCACCTCTCGAACATGCACCTCTCGAACATGCACCTCATCGAACATGCACCTCTCGAACATGCACCTCTCGAACATGCACCTCTCGAACAGTGCACCTCTCGAACATGCCGCTCTCGAACATCACCTCTCGAACATGCACCTCTCGACATGCACCTCTCGACATGCACCTCTCGAACATGCACCTCTCGAACATGCACCTCTCGAACATGCACCTCTCGAACAAGCCATCTCGAACATGCACCTCTCGAACATGCACCTCTCGAACATGGCACCTCTCGAACATGCACCTCTCGAACATGCACCTCTCGAACATGCACCTCTCGAACATGCACCTCTCGAACATGCACCTCTCGAACATGCACCTCTCGAACATGCACCTCTCGAACATGCACCTCTCGAACATGCACATCTCGAAACTGCACCTCTCGAACATGCACCTCTCGAACATGCACCTCTCGAACATGCACCTCTCGAACATGCACCTCTCGAACATGCACCTCTCGAACATGCACCTCTCGAACATGCAACCCTCTCGACATGCACCTCTCGAACATGCACGCTCGAACATGCACTCTCGAACATGCACCTCTCGAACATGCCCTCTCGAACATGCACCTCTCGAACATGCACCTCTCGAACATGCACCTCTCGAACATGCACCTCTCGAACATGCACCTCTCGAACATGCACCTCTCGAACATGCACCTCTCGAACATGCACCTCTCGAACATGCACCTCTCGAACATGCACCTCTCGAACATGCACCTCTCGAACATGCACCTCTCGAACATGCACCTCTCGAACATGCACCTCTCGAACATGCACCTCTCGAACATGCACCTCTCGAACATGCACCTCTCGAACATGCACCTCTCGAACATGCACCTCTCGAACATGCACCTCTCGAACATGCACCTCTCGAACATGCACCTCTCGAACATGCACCTCTCGAACATGCACCTCTCGAACATGCACCATCTCGAACATGCACCTCTCGAACATGCACCTCTCGAACATGCACCTCTCGAACATGCACCTCTCGAACATGCACCTCTCGAACATGCACCTCTCGAACATGCACCTCTCGAACATGCACCTCTCGAACATGCACCTCTCGAACATGCACCTCTCGAACATGCACCTCTCGAACATGCACCTCTCGAACATGCACCTCTCGAACATGCACCTCTCGAACATGCACCTCTCGAACATGCACCTCTCGAACATGCACCTCTCGAACATGCACCTCTCGAACATGCACCTCTCGAACATGCACCTCTCGAACATGCACCTCTCGAACATGCACCTCTCGAACATGCACCTCTCGAACATGCACCTCTCGAACATGCACCTCTCGAACATGCACCTCTCGAACATGCACCTCTCGAACATGCACCTCTCGAACATGCACCTCTTCGAACATGCACCTCTCGAACATGCACCTCTCGAACATGCACCTCTCGAACATGCACCTCTCGAACATGCACCTCTCGAACATGCACCTCTCGAACATGCACCTCTCGAACATGCACCTCTCGAACATGCACCTCTCGAACATGCACCTCTCGAACATGCACCTCTCGAACATGCCCTCTCGACATGCCTCTCGAACATGCACCTCTCGAACATGCACCTCTCGAACATGCACCTCTCGAACATGCACCTCTCGAACATGCACCTCTCGAACATGCACCTCTCGAACATGCACCTCTCGAACATGCACCTCTCGAACATGCACCTCTCGAACATGCACCTCTCGAACATGCACCTCTCGAACATGCACCTCTCGAACATGCACCTCTCGAACATGCACCTCTCGAACATGCACCTCTCGAACATGCACCTCTCGAACATGCACCTCTCGAAACATGCACCTCTCGAACATGCACCTCTCGAACATGCACCTCTCGAACATGCACCTCTCGAACATGCACCTCTCGAACATGCACCTCTCGAACATGCACCTCTCGAACATGCACCTCTCGAACATGCACCTCTCGAACATGCACCTCTCGAACATGCACCTCTCGAACATGCACCTCTCGAACATGCACCTCTCGAACATGCACCTCTCGAACATGCACCTCTCGAACATGCACCTCTCGAACATGCACCTCTCGAACATGCACCTCTCGACATGCACCTCTCGAACATGCACCTCTCGAACATGCACCTCTCGAACATGCACCTCTCGAACATGTGCACCTCATCGAACATGCACCTCTCGAACATGCACCTCTCGACATGCACCTCTCGAACATGCACCTCTCGAACATGGCACCTCTCGAACATGCACCTCTCGAACATGCACCTCTCGAACATGCACCTCTCGAACATGCACCTCTCGAACATGCACCTCTCGAACATGCACCTCTCGAACATGCACCTCTCGAACATGCACCTCTCGAACATGCACCTCTCGAACATGCACCTCTCGAACATGCACCTCTCGAACATGCACCTCTCGAACATGCACCTCTCGAACATGCACCTCTCGAACATGCACCTCTCGAACATGCACCTCTCGAACATGCACCTCTCGAACATGCACCTCTCGAACATGCACCTCTCGAACATGCACCTCTCGAACATGCACCTCTCGAACATGCACCTCTCGAACATGCACCTCTCGAACATGCACCTCTCGAACATGCACCTCTCGAACATGCACCTCTCGGACATGCACCTCTCGACATGCACCTCTCGAACATGCACCTCTCGAACATGCACCTCTCGAAACATGCACCTCTCGAACATGCACCTCTCGAACATGCACCTCTCGAACAGGCACCTCTCGAACATGCACCTCTCGAACATGCACCTCTCGAACATGCACCTCTCGAACATGCACCTCTCGAACATGCACCTCTCGAACATGCACCTCTCGAACATGCACCTCTCGAACATGCACCTCTCGAACATGCACCTCTCGAACATGCACCTCTCGAACATGCACCTCTCGAACATGCACCTCTCGAACATGCACCTCTCGAACATGCACCTCTCGAACATGCACCTCTCGAACATGCACCTCTCGAACATGCACCTCTCGAACATGCACCTCTCGAACATGCACCTCTCGAACATGCACCTCTCGAACATGCCCTCTCGAACAGTGCACCTCTCGAACATGCACCTCTCGAACATGCACCTCTCGAACATGCACCTCTCGAACATGCACCTCTCGAACATGCACCTCTCGAACATGCCCTCTCGAACATGCACCTCTCGAACATGCACCTCTCGAACATGCACCCTCGAACATGCGAACATGCACCTCTCGAACATGCACCTCTCGAACATGCACCTCTCGAACATGCACCCTCTCGAACATGCACCTCTCGAACATGCACCTCTCGAACATGCACCTCTCGAACATGCACCTCTCGAACATGCACCTCTCGAACATGCACCTCTCGAACATGCACCTCTCGAACATGCACCTCTCGAACATGCACCTCTCGAACATGCACCTCTCGAACATGCCCCTCTCGAACATGCACCTCTCGAACATGCACCTCTCGAACATGCACCTCTCGAACATGCACCTCTCGAACATGCACCTCTCGAACATGCACCTCTCGAACATGCACCTCTCGAACATGCACCTCTCGAACATGCACCTCTCGAACATGCACCTCTCGAACATGCACCTCTCGAACATGCACCTCTCGAACATGCACCTCTCGAACATGCACCTCTCGAACATGCACCTCTCGAACATGCACCTCTCGAACATGCACCTCTCGAACATGCACCTCTCGAACATGCACCTCTCGAACATGCACCTCTCGAACATGCACCTCTCGAACATGCACCTCTCGAACATGCACCTCTCGAACATGCACCTCTCGAACATGCACCTCTCGAACATGCACCTCTCGAACATGCACCTCTCGAACATGCACCTCTCGAACATGCACCTCTCGAACATGCACCTCTCGAACATGCACCTCTCGAACATGCACCTCTCGAACATGCACCTCTCGAACATGCACCTCTCGAACATGCACCTCTCGAACATGCACCTCTCGAACATGCACCTCTCGAACATGCACCTCTCGAACATGCACCTCTCGAACATGCACCTCTCGAACATGCACCTCTCGAACATGCACCTCTCGAACATGCACCTCTCGAACATGCACCTCTCGAACATGCACCTCTCGAACATGCACCTCTCGAACATGCACCTCTCGAACATGCACCTCTCGAACATGCACCTCTCGAACATGCACCTCTCGAACATGCACCTCTCGAACATGCACCTCTCGAACATGCACCTCTCGAACATGCACCTTTTATATCCTCAAGAATGGCTGAGTGACATAGATTGATGTGCTTTAAAGGTGTGTGCCACATCCAAGGCCACGACCACACATCACCTAGCGTAAAAACACCTGAGGAATCACCTGGGCGAAGGAGGCGGTGGTGTAGCGCTCCACGGCATCACACGCGTCCACATCGCCCGCCTGGAGGGGGGGAGGATGGGAAAGGCGTTGAGGGGAGGAGAGTTGGGGGGAAGGGCGTTGAAAACACATGAAACATTCCACACTTGTGGAAGGAGGCGGTGGTGTAGCGCTGCACAGCGTCACACGCGTCCACATCGCCCGCCTGAAGGGGCGGCGGGTGGGAAAGGTGTTGGGAGGAAGGGCTTTGATGGGAAGGGCGTTGAAAGCACGTAGAAAATTCCCCCCTTGTGGAAATCCCCCCCTTGTGGAAGAGACAGCACATGGCAAGAGCAAACGATTTGTCGAAGCCGTCACAATGCCTCTCAACAGCAGCTTGCAGATGGAGTAACAGGGACAGCATTAGGGAGAGAAAAGGTGGTACAACGATAAACGGCGGGCAGGAGGAGCAGCAGGCAGGGGGGGCAGTGGAGAGGAGAGGGAGGGGACGTGGGCAGAGGGAGAAGCAGGAAACAGAGAGGGTAGCCGGGGGTTGCATGACCGAAAGGAGGCGTTTCCAGTCAGCAGAGGGGGCAGAGCGCAGAGGGGGAAGGGCGCAGTGGGAAGAGAGGGAGTGGGGGCAGAGGAAGCAGCGGGAAGAGGTGATGCGGGGGCCCACCAGAGTGAGGAGGTGGCTCCAGTCGGGCAGCAGCTTGGCCAGCATTCGCCTCTCCCGTGCGCTGTTGCTGCACTGCGCTTTCAGCACCGCCTGCACGGCCTGTACGGGTGACACAGGGATGGCATGCACGCGGATGGGGGGAGTTTTGAGGCGCCTCCGAGGTGGTTCCAGTCAAGCAGCAGCTTGGGCAGCATGCGCCTCTCCCTCGCGCCGTTGCTGCACTGCGCTCTCAGCACCGCCTGCACTGCCTGCTTTGCATGCAACATGGGATGGGAGGTAGGTGGGTGGACAGATGAAAGGCTTGCCTCCTATTCCCACAGCCGCACCACGTTCCCTTTCCCCACAAGTCTATTCCCAGCCTCTCGTGGGTGGCCCGCCCCCTTACGTCTGCCCCGCCCCACTTACATGTGATGCCTTCTTGACAAACTTCCCTAAAGCTGCACTGGAGTTCGCATCCCCACCACCGCCACCACTACCTCCCGCGTCCCCACCACTGTCTGCAGCAGCTCCAGCCGGGGGCAGCAGGGCAGGCGGTAGGTGCAGCGAATGCATGATTACGTCTGTGGGGTCGTGGCCGAGAATGAGGCCGTCTCGCAGCAGCAGCAGCTGGTGGTGTCGGGAGAGGGAAGTTGAGGGGTGGGAGGGGGGAATGGTGGGGAGGGGGAGGGGACGGGAGGAAAGGCACAAGGTGCAGCGAGTGCAGGATGACGCCTGTGGGGTCGTGGCCGAGAATGAGACCATCACAGAGGAGCGACAGCTGGTGGGGGAAGGAGGAGGAGAGGGAAGGGGAGGAGCGGGGAGGGGACACCAGGGGACGGGATGGGAGAGTTGGAAGGTGCAGCGAGTGAATGACGGCGTCTGTGGGGTCTGCAGAGAGTCGGAGAGTGCAGCGAGAATGAGACCGCCTCAAAGAAGCAGCAACTGGTGGGGGGGGGGGAGAGCAGAGGTGGGGAGAGGGGCGGACGAGAGGTGAAGGGAAACAGGTACACAGGTACACAGGTACACAGGTACACACACCACAAGCAACCGTTCCAACTCCAACTACGACACTATACACAGCCGTGACGCCATCCAGCATGCCGACGGGCAGCTAATGCAAACAAGGATGAACAGGATGGCATGGCAGGACGACACCCTGTTCATGGCATGGCATGGCATGGCATGTTCATTTCATGTCATCATCACCGACTGAACCTCCTCCCTTCTGCCTTGCCGGTGGGTGCCGGCGCCAGTGACGTTCCACTCTTGCTGCTGCCAACGCCCGGGCAAAGCCTGACAGGTTCTCCACTGCGCCACCTCTCACCTCTGCGCCGCCTCTCACCTCTCACCTCTGCGCCACCTCTCACCTCTCACCTCTGCAAAGCAGAGAGAGTGCTGGGATGCACGCCTCTCCCACCATCTGCACACCAGCATACCTAGCCAGCACACACACAGCCAACCCACCTGCAGTGCCTGCCAACAAACACACCTGCTCACGTGCAGCCGAAGCACACCTGCAGGGCAGCGCGGGCGACTGGGCCCGGGTCGAGGGCGCGGAAGTGGGCGAGTTGCACTGCCCCATACAGAGCACAGCACACACATACAGCCAACGCACATACCTGCAGCATACCTGCAGCATACCTGCAGCATACCTGCACATGGGTAGTGCCAGCACCGGCAGCACCACCAGTGCCACCAGCCATAACACCTACCTGCAGGGCAGCGCGGGCGACGGGGCCGGGGTTGAGGGCGCGGAAGTGGGCGAGAAAGCGAGAGAGCTCCAAAAGATCGGGAGGTGAGGTGGATGGCAGGTGGCAGATGAATGCGAGGTGGGTCAGCAGGCGCGAGAAATGCTCCAGCGCCTGGAAAGGGGGAGGGGAAGCGGCACGGGGAGAGGAGGGGAGGAAGCGCAAGAGTGTCAGCAGATCGGGAGGCGAGGCGGATGGCAGATGAAGGCAAGGTGGGATAGCAGGCGAGAGAAATGGTCCAACGCCTGGGAGAGAGGAAGGGGTTGGGTGAGGGGGGCAGGGAGGGGGAGGGGAGGGGGATGGGACAGAGAGGAAGGGGAGGCGAGGTGGGTGAGTAGGCGAACGAAGTGGTCCAAATTCCAATGCCTGAAGCGAAGTGGGTTGAGTTTTACTAGTCCCTCCCTCCCTAGGCATATTGTGGCAGCTATGATGCATGCATCAAGCTCTGGGAGTTAAGGGATGGAGAAGGTGTGATTGACCCAGTAAATGCGACTTATGTTCAGAGGCGCCTCAAACGCCAATACGTGCGGTGCAACTTATGTTTCGAGGTGCTTAGAATGCCAGTAAGTGCAAGTGCGCTGCCTCACGTGCAGCCACCTAACCCAAGTAAGCACTCCCATCACTGCCACCACAGCAGGAGCCTCACCTCGTGCCATGTCAGCAGGTGCGTGGGACGGGGCGGCGTGGGCGGCAGCAGGTGGGTGTTGATGGCCGGACACATGCCTGGCGCCGCCCTCCCTGACGCCGTCTGCTGTGCCCCCCTCCCCTCCTCCGCCCGCCCCCCCTCTCCCCCTTCTCCTTTCTCTCCTTCCTCTCCCCCAGCAGGGGGGGCGGGCGGGGGCATGGAGGTCTTGAGTTTGTGCAGGGCGGTTTGGGCGAGCTGAATCTTGAGCGCACAGGCAGGCAGGTGGGCAGGGAGACGGGCCGTTTGTAGCGCTGAGAGCGCATCAAAGAGAGCCTGGTGGGTGGGGAGGGGACGGGGAGGGAGAGGGAGGAAGAAAGGGCGAGCTGAATCTTGAGAGCACACGCAGGCAGGCAGGTGGGCGGGGAGACGGGCCGTGTGCAGCGCTGAGAGCGTGTCACAGAGGGCCTGGAAAAGGGGAGGGAGGGGGGATGGGGGGAATTGGTATGGTGGCATCCCAACTCCCCACTGGTTGAGTTGAGAGCATGAAGAAGTGACCTTTGAGTCGACTCAAAGGTCACCTAAGTATATTGTCGCATGCACGGTGATTACAGTGGGGAATCGGTACGGTCGCATACCAGCTCCGCACTGGTTGAGAGCATGAGAAGAGGATTTCACTGCAGGACGGTGAGGAGAGCAGGGCACCGTGCATGCTGGGTGGCTGCATATGCAGCAACGCGGCACGCCTCTTGTAGCGGAAGAGGAAGCTCAACCAGAGTTATTGCTGGGGGGTTTGAAAGCTACCCTACCACCATGTGCACTGCACACCACACGCGTTTTGAGGTGACTCTTGAGTCGACTCAAAACTCGCCTTTTGTGGCGGAAGTGGATCCACATGGTGAGTTTTCGCCGGCGTTTGAACACTACCCTACCACCATGTGCAGACTACACGCTCGGGCATGATTTTCCAGGAAAGAATGCGCAAACAAAAAGCGACAGCAAAGTGATGTTCCATTGCACGGCACGTGCACAAGTGAACAACACGGTGTACACATAAACGGGTTTGTGGGTGCCATGAGAGCAGAGAAAAGCAGAATCAGAATCAGAAGTAGAAGCAGAAGCAGGAGCAGGAGCAGGAGCAGAAGCAGAAGCAGGAGCAGAAGCAGAAGCAGAAGCAGAAGCAGAAGCAGGAGCAGAAGCAGAAGCAGGAGCAGGAGCAGAAGCAGAAGCAGGAGCAGGAGCAGAAGCAGGAGCAGGAGCAGAAGCAGAAGCAGAAGGAGAAGCAGAAGCAGAAGCAGGAGCAGAAGCAGGAGCAGGAGCAGAAGCAGAAGCAGAAGCAGGAGCAGAAGCAGGAGCAGGAGAAGAAGCAGGAGCAGGAGCAGGAGCAGAAGCAGAGAGAAGCGGAGCAGAGCAGATCAGGGAGCAGCAAGCAGTACCAGTCGGAATTGCATGCGGGCCACAAGGGCGGTGAGGAGAGCAGGTTCCAGCCCCGACATCACAGGGTCGCCCTGCTGCTGCTGCTCCTTGCGCCCTGACGCTGATGCCTTCCCTGGTGGTGCATCGGGGCATGGGCATGGGCATGGGCATGGGCATGGGCATGGGCATGGGCATGAGCAGGGGCATGGGCATGGGCATGGGCATGGGTAGGGATGAGCAAAGAACCGAACAGGTTTTGTTTTTCAGCTTAAATTGTTCGCCCGAACGTGTTCGAGGTTCGCCCGAACACGCCTCCACAGGCGAACGGAGAACACCTGTTTTTGCCTAAACTGTTCGCCGAACCGATGTTCGGTTCGGCAAAAGGGGGTGTTCGAGAAGGGGCGAACACGAATCCCATGGGCATGAGCAGGGGTGGCATGGGCATGGGCATGGGCATGGGCGTGGGCATGGGCATGGGCATGGGCATGGGCATGGGCATGGGCATGGGCCAAGGCATAGGCATAGGCATGGGCATGGGCATGGGCATGGGCATGGGCATGGGCATGGGTATGGGCATGGGCATGGGCATGGGCATGGGCATGGGCATGGGCATGGGCATGGGCATGGGCATGGGCATGGGCATGGGCATGGGCATGGGCATGGGCATGGAGGGATGAGCAAAGGGCGAACACGAACATGTTCGTGTTCGCCCCTTCTCGAACACGTCCTTTTGCCGAACCGAACACTGTTCGGTTCGGCGAACAGTTTAGCCAAAAACAGGTGTTCGCTGTTCGCCTGTGGAGGCATGTTCGGGCGAACCTCGAACACGTTCGTGTTCGACACGGGGCGTTTTGCAGCAGCGCCACGAACACGAACGTGTTCGGGCGAACCTCGAACACGTTCGGGCGAACGATTTAAGCTGAAAAACAAAACCTGTTCGGTTCGCCTCGAACACGTTCGAGGCGAACCGAACAGGTGTTCGCCACTTTGCTCATCCCATGCCGCATGGGCATGGGCATGGGCATGGGCCAAGGCATAGGCATAGGCATGGGCATGGGCATGGGCAGGGGCATGGGCATGAGCATGGGCATGGGCATGGGCATGGGCATGGGCATGGGCATGGGCATGGACATGGGCATGGGCATGGGTATGGGCATGGGCATGGGCATGGGCATGGGCATGGGCATGGGCATGGGCATGGTCATGGGCATGGGCATGGGCCAAGGCATAGGCATAGGCATGGGCATGGGCAGGGGCATGGGCATGAGCATGGGCATGGGCATGGGCATGGGCATGGGCATGGGCATGGGCATGGGCATGGGCATGGGCATGGGCATGGGCATGGGCATGAGCATGGGCATGGGCATGGGCATGGGCATGGGCATGGGCATGGGCATGGACACATGGGCATGGGCATGGGCATGGGCATGGGCATGGGCATGGGCATGGGCATGGGCATGGGCATGGACACATGGGCATGGGCATGGGCATGGGCATGGGCATGGGCATGGGCATGGGCATGGGCATGGGCATGGCATGGGCATCATGGGTTGGAATGCGAGGGTGAGCGATTGGCATGCAAGCCACGAGGGCAGTCGGGAGAGCAGGGTCCCGCCCGAGCAGCACAGGGTCGCTCTGCTGCTAAACTTTCCACTTTCCCTCTCCTTAAGACTTCCCCTCTCCCAACTGTTCCCCCTCCTCCCTACACTTTGCACCTCTCATTCGTTCCACACGGTGACACTGTCCCACCACTCCTCCCCTCCCCTCCCCTCCACTCCACTCCCCTCCACTCCACTCCCCTCCCCTCCCCTCCTCTCCCCACACTTATCTCCACACACATCCCACTCCTCTACCCTCCCACAAACCCTCTCAACCCCCTCCCTCCCGTCCCCACACCCAGTTCCCCTCCCCACCTGCCCCCTCCCCAACTGCCCCCTCCCCAACTGCCCCCTCCCCAACTGCCCCCTCCCCAACTGCCCCCTCCGCAACTGCCCCCTCCCCACCTGCCCCCTCCCAACCTGCCCCCTCCCCACCTGCCCCCTCCTAAACTGTCCCCTCCCCACCTGCCCCCTCCCCACCTGCCCCCTCCTAAACTGCCCCCTCCCCACCTGCCCCCTCCCCACCTGCCCCCTCCTAAACTGCCCCCTCCCCAACTGCCCCCTCCCCAACTGCCCCCTCCTAAACTGCCCCCTCCGCAACTGCCCCCTCCCCACCTGCCCCCTCCTAAACTGCCCCCTCCCCAACTGCCCCCTCCCCAACTGCCCCCTCCCCAACTGCCCCCTCCTAAACTGCCCCCTCCGCAACTGCCCCCTCCCCACCTGCCCCCTCCCCACCTGCCCCCTCCTAAACTGCCCCCTCCCCAACTGCCCCCTCCCCAACTGCCCCCTCCTAAACTGCCCCCTCCGCAACTGCCCCCTCCCCACCTGCCCCCTCCCCACCTGCCCCCTCCTAAACTGCCCCCTCCCCAACTGCCCCCTCCCCAACTGCCCCCTCCTAAACTGCCCCCTCCGCAACTGCCCCCTCCCCACCTGCCCCCTCCCCACCTGCCCCCTCCTAAACTGCCCCCTCCCCAACTGCCCCCTCCCCAACTGCCCCCTCCTAAACTGCCCCCTCCGCAACTGCCCCCTCCCCACCTGCCCCCTCCCCACCTGCCCCCTCCTAAACTGCCCCCTCCCCAACTGCCCCCTCCCCAACTGCCCCCTCCTAAACTGCCCCCTCCGCAACTGTCCCCTCCCCACCTGCCCCCTCCCCACCTGCCCCCTCCTAAACTGCCCCCTCCCCACCTGCCCCCTCCCCACCTGCCCCCTCCTAAACTGCCCCCTCCCCAACTGCCCCCTCCCCAACTGCCCCCTCCTAAACTGCCCCCTCCGCAACTGCCCCCTCCCCAACTGCCCCCTCGCCACTGCCGCCTCGCCCACTCGCCCCTCCAGAGGTCGTTCAGGTAGGTGTGTGGCCTCTCGTCTTACTCACCTTTTCCCTTCCGAGCGTCCCCTTCCCCTTCCCCTTCCAGCCCCGCCAGCAGCGCTCTCAGTGGCGCCACCGCCCTCCCCCTCTCGCCCGTTCCCCCTCACACCCATGTCCCCCGTTCCCCTGCCCCCCACCCGCCCCTTGCCCACCTGCTCCTTTCTCCTCCAGCCCCGCCAGCAGCGCTCTGAGCGGCGCCACTGCCGCCACGCCCACCCGCCCCTCCAGAGGTCTTTCAAGTAGGTGTGTGGCCTCTCGTCTCACTCACCTTTTCCCTTCCGAGCGTCCCCTTCCCCTTCCCCTTCCAGCCCCGCCAGCAGCGCTCTCAGTGGCGCCACCGCCCTCCCCCTCTCGCCCGTTCCCCCTCACACCCATGTCCCCCGTTCCCCTGCCCCCCACCCGCCCCTTGCCCACCTGCTCCTTTCTCCTCCAGCCCCGCCAGCAGCGCTCTGAGCGGCGCCACTGCCGCCACGCCCACCCGCCCCTCCAGAGGTCTTTCAAGTAGGTGTGTGGCCTCTCGTCTCACTCACCTTTTCCCTTCCGAGCGTCCCCTTCCCCTTCCCCTTCAAGCCCCGCCAGCAGCGCTCTGAGCGGTGCCACTGCCGCCTCCCCCACTCGCCCCTCCAGAGGCAGTCCTCCTGCTGACGTCACAAAGTCCTCCTCCTGCGAGAGGAGGGGGAAGGGATGGGGGAGGGAAGAGGTTGGGGGAGGGGGAGTAAGGGGGGGGGTGAAAATTACGCTCGCCCCTCCAGAGGCAGGCCCCCCACTGGGAGGGCAAGAAGAGGAGGTCGAGGGTAAAAGGAGGGTGAGGAAAGACTAGGAATGGGAGAAAAAGGGGGCATGAGAGGAGGAGGAGGGCGAGAGGGATGGCGATTAGAAATATTGCATCATAATGCCCCAGTGACGCAAAACTTAGGGAGAAGAGAGGCCATGAGAAGAGAGGCCATGAGAAGAGAGGCCATGAGAAGAGAGGCCATGAGAAGAGAGGCCATGAGAAGAGAGGCCATGAGAAGAGAGGTCATGAGAAGAGAGGCCATGAGAAGAGGCAGTAAGTTGCGAACCGAGAGGAGGGGAGACGAGAGGACAGGTAATGAACTCAAGGCCCTTACGTCCAAAAAGGGCGACAGATGGATGGGTAGGTAGTTGGCGGCATTTCTCAATGTAATCGGCTGAAATCTCCAATCGGTGGGTTGGAAATATTTGTTGATAGTTTTAGCCAGCAGGGCTTCCCAAATGGCATGATGATATCATGCCTTCCCAAATGGCATGATGATATCATGCCGTGCCATCACGACTCTCACCTCGCGTTGGTGCGTCCAGCAGGAGGCAGAGCGCATGCTGTTGACACAGGCGAGGGTGGCTGACAGCAACGCCAGCAGCAGCACACACACATGGCATGGCATGATGCAGTGCCACTGTGCCAGCATGCCTCTCACCCACCTCACGTTGGTGCGTCCAGCAGGCAGCAGAGCGCATGCTGTTGACACAGGCGAGGACAGCAGACAGCAGCGCCAGCAGCACACATGGCATTGCATGGTGCAGGGGTAGCGGGCAACTCACCTCGCGTTGGTGTGTCCAGCAGGAGGCAGAGCGCACGCTGTTGACACAGGCGAGGACAGCAGACAGCAGCGCCAGCAGCACACTTGGGATGGCATGGGATCATGCAGTGCCACTGTGCCAGCATGCCTCTCACCCACCTCACGTTGGTGTGTCCAGCAGGAGGCAGAGCGCACGCTGTTGACACAGGGGAGGACAGCAGACAGCAGCGCCAGCAGCAGCGGCGAGGAGGAGAGGGATGGGGAGGGGGAGGATGTGCAGGCGGAGGGGGGGGCGAGCGGGGGCAGCAGCAGGTAGGCACAGGTAAAGACGGTTTGCGGCAAGCTGTGGCCGCTGTGCCACGTGGCCTGGGGAGGGAAAGGGGGAGTTGGGGGAAAAAAAGGGGCGTGAGGGGGAAGGATGAGGAAGTGGGGAGTGGGATGTACAGGGCACGCAGGGAATAAATTAACAGCAGCAGGTAGAGGGGGGCGGATGAGGCAGAGGGGAGTGGGGGCGAGGCGGGGGCGCATGGAGTGAGGCCGAGAGGAACTGAAAGGCCACATGATGGGTGTGGCGGGGATTGGAAGAAGGAAGCGGGGAAGGAGAGGGGGAGAGGGGGCGCCAGCAGCACAGCAGTTTGCAGGGCAGCAGCAACCCACCTCAGCACACAGCAACCCACCTCAGCACACAGCAACCCACCTCAGCACACAGCAACCCACCTCAGCACACAGCAACCCACCTCAGCACACAGCAACCCACCTCAGCACACAGCAGCGCGCCACAGCGGTCCACAATGCGGTCAGCTGGCAGAGGACGCGAAGGGGGAGAGGGGTACCAGCACAGCAGCGCACCTCACCACACACCAGCACACCTGACCGCACAGCAGCGCGTCACACAAGTCCACAATGCAGTGGGCTGGCAGTGGACGGGAGAGGGGAGGAGGTAACAAGCGCAGCAGCGCACCTCACCTCACCAATCAATAGCGCACCTCACCGCACGTCACCGCACCTCAGCGCACAGCAGCGCGTCACAGAGGTCCACAATGCGGTGCGCTGGCAGAGGCAGTGGCAGCAGCCCTCTCTCCACCGCCTCCCCCACACTCTTCACCTCCCCCCTCGCCTCCCCCGGCCCCGGATTCCACCCTCCGTCCCTGCACCACACCACACCTCACCGCACCTCACCTCACAGCACCGCACAGCACCTCCACGCACCTCAGCGCACAGCAGCGCATCACAGAGGTCCACAATGCGGTGCGCTGGCAGAGGAAGAGGCAGCATCCCTCTCTCCACCGCCTCCCCCACACTCTCCACCTCCCCCCTCGACCCCACATGCCCTTCCCCTCCGCCTCCCCCCTCGCCTCCCCCTTTGCCTCCCCCCATGCCTGCATCCATCTTGGGGTCCATCATCTGCGCGGGGCGGGAACGGGAGCGGGGAGAGAGGGGCAGGTAGCGGGAAGGGAAGCGCGCAGGGAGAAGCGCACAGGACAGGGGTAACGGGGTTTTGTTGAGCCGTCTCAAAGCCATTCCCGCATCCATCTTAGGGTCCATGGGAGGAGGGGGGAGCGGGGTGAGAGGTGGGAGAGGGGAGAGCGGGGTGAGAGGTGGGAGAGGGGAGAGAGAAAAGGAAGAGGGGAGAGATGGGGGGTAGGGGAGAGAAAGGGGGGTAAGGGGTGGTAAGCAGTGCGTGAAGGCAGGGCGGATGAGAAGGCAGGGCGGATGAGAAGGCAGGGCGGATGAGAAGGCAGGGCGGATGAGAAGGCAGGGCGGATGAGAAGGCAAGGCGGATGAGAAGGCAGGGCGGATGAGAAGGCAGGGCGGATGAGAAGGCAGGGCGGATGAGAAGGCAGGGCGGATGAGAAGGCAGGGCGGATGAGAAGGCAGGGCGGATGAGAAGGCAGGGCGGATGAGAAGGCAGGGCGGATGAGAAGGCAGGGCGGATGAGAAGGCAAGGCGGATGAGAAGGCAGGGCGGATGAGAAGGCAGGGCGGATGAGAAGGCAGGGCGGATGAGAAGGCAGGGCGGATGAGAAGGCAGGGCGGATGAGAAGGCAGGGCGGATGAGAAGGCAGGGCGGATGAGAAGGCAGGGCGGATGAGAAGGCAGGGCGGATGAGAAGGCAGGGCGGATGAGAAGGCAGGGCGGATGAGAAGGCAGGGCGGATGAGAAGGCAGGGCGGATGAGAAGGCAGGGCGGATGAGAAGGCAGGGCGGATGAGAAGGCAGGGCGGATGAGAAGGCAGGGCGGATGAGAAGGCAGGGCGGATGAGAAGGCAGGGCGGATGAGAAGGCAGGGCGGATGAGAAGGCAGGGCGGATGAGAAGGCAGGGCGGATGAGAAGGCAGGGCGGATGAGAAGGCAGGGCGGATGAGAAGGCAGGGGGGATGAGAAGGCAGGGCGGATGAGAAGGCAGGGCGGATGAGAAGGCAGGGCGGATGAGAAGGCAGGGCGGATGAGAAGGCAGGGCGGATGAGAAGGACTTCAAACTGGGAGAGCAGGCGAGGAAGAAATGGATGAGGGAGAGAATGGCAAGGGGCGAGAGGCGAAGCGGGGAGAGGTGACGCGGAGAAGAGAGGGCAGAGCGGAGAAGAGAGGGCAGAGCGGAGAAGAGAGGGCAGAGCGGAGAAGAGAGGGCAGAGCGGAGAAGAGAAGGCAGAGCGGAGAAGAGAGGGCAGAGCGGAGAAGAGAAGGCAGAGCGGAGAAGAGAGGGCAGAGCGGAGAAGAGAGGGCAGAGCGGAGAAGAGAGGGCAGAGCGGAGAAGAGAGGGCAGAGCGGAGAAGAGAGGGCAGAGCGGAGAAGAGAGGGCAGAGCGGAGAAGAGAGGGCAGAGCGGAGAAGAGAGGGCAGAGCGGAGAAGAGAGGGCAGAGCGGCAGTGATGCGCGGGACGGGGGGTCGATGCGAGACGAGCGGACACCCGAGGGTGTGGGAAGTGCGTGCGCAGTGGGAAGAAGAGGGCGCAGTGGGAAGAAGAGGGCGCAGTGGGAAGAAGAGGGCGCAGTGGGAAGAAGAGGGCGCAGTGGGAAGAAGAGGGCGCAGTGGGAAGAAGAGGGCGCAGTGGGAAGAAGAGGGCGCAGTAGGGCGGGGAGGTGGGTGCGGGGAGGTGGGGGCGGGGAGGTGGGGGCGGGGAGGTGGGGGCGGGGAGGTGGGGGCGGGGAGGTGGGTGCGGGGAGGTGGGTGCGGGGAGGTGGGGGCGGGGAGGTGGGGGCGGGGAGGTGGGGGCGGGGAGGTGGGTGCGGGGAGGTGGGGGCGGGGAGGTGGGGGCGGGGAGGTGGGGGCGGGGAGGTGGGGGCGGGTTCACCTCGAGAGCAGCCATGGCTTCGAAGAGGCTGAAGGATTCGCCATGCATCAGCTCTCCTGTCTCCAATTCTGATGGTGATGAGAGACGGGAGGGGAGGGGAGGGGAGGGGAGGAAGAGGGTTCATTCGTGAGTCGACTCTCAAAGAGAGATTCAAGCACTCCATGCAGCAACTCACTCGCCTCTCTCCAGGTCTGATGGTGATGATGCAGGGGAGAAGGAAGAATGGGCAAGGAGGGGTTTTCGTGGTGCATCACATCAGCTCGCCTGACTCCAGGTCAGATGGAGAGGTTATTGAGTCGTCTCAAAAACGTTTTTCTAGTTAATCTTGTAATCGATCACAAAATCAAAGTCTACTCGAAAATCGCAGCTGTGCAGCGCAGCAGCTCCCGTGACTCCATGCTGATAGTCTAGGAGGAAAGGAAGAGAGGGGAGGAGGAGGAGAAGAGGGGAGGGAGGGGAGGGAGGGAAGGGAGGAGGTGTGAGATCAGGGAATTAATCGACTAAAGGGGACGCCGTGCATGTCGACGCCAGCAGAAGCGACACACGGACGAGAATTGTTGCTTGCGGTGGTGTCCTAACCGAACGGACCTCCCCCATCCCTTCTCCATCAGCTCTCTTCTGACGCCAGCTGTGATCGCGACGAGTGTGAGCGGGAGGTGAGGGGCGGAGGAGGGTTGGAGGGGGGAGGAAAAAGGGGGTGAGAAGAGGATGGAGGAGGGGAGAAGGAGGGGAGGGAAGGGGAGATGAGATGAGGTGGCACGCAATACAGCGAGTGAGATGAGATGAGCAGAGGGTGACGTAATGGTGCCGTCTTATGGCGAGGATCGACAGTCATGCCGATCTTTGAGACGTCTCAAAGCAGTCATGACGACATGCAAGCGACGGGATGGCACGCCCGGGTGGCTCCGTGCCGCCATGCAATGCAAGCATACGGGGCCCCCGCGCAGTGCTGCCTCGCCCCCTCCACTGGGATGTAGCCGCAATGTAAGGCTCGCCCGCGCAAGGTTCATCCAGGCAAGGGCCATCCGCGCAAGGCCCATCCGCGCAAGGCCCATCCGCGCAAGGCCCGTCCGCTTAAGGCGCATCCGCGCAAGGCACACGCGCGCTGCGATCAAGAGCTCACCGGCGCAAGCGGCGGCGAGCGCGGCATCGGCGTCGCGCCACACCGTCTGATCGCCCGCCCGCTCGGCTCCCAGCGGCCGCGCGACATCGTCCAACGCCATGGCGACCGAAGCCTGCGACGGGCGTCGCACGAAGCTGGGCGGCTAACCCGATTAGCTAGCGACGAGCGACGACCGACGGGGACCAGCGACGAGCGATGATCGACGAGCGACGAGCGAGAAAACTGATGTTGGATAGCGGTGGCACGCGCGTGCGGTGTCTAGTGACTTCGCGTCGCACGCGTCTCAGCTGCGCAATGCGGTCGCGTAGGGGAAGATCTACTCTTACTTGTAAAACAGAGTAGCTGTGACTACTCGAGAGCTGGAAACTTGGCTGGAAAGTCTTAGCAGGGCTGCTGGAATTGACTGGATGAGGTAAAACTTCACTATGTTCAAGATTAACAAGCCCACTAAAGCACAACTCTAGGCATCACAAACAAGACAGATTGAAAGCTCAAACTAGGCTGATAGACAATGTAACTTCCCTGGTAACTTGGGCACAATCTAGATTGGATGGACCTTGAGTGACTTTGAGTGCCACATGAGGTGCATGAATAAGAAAACTCTGGATATTTCTGTTATAGCTGATTCTGATGTGTAGAAACCTGTAGAAACTGCCAACACTTCAGTTTGAAGGCAGCTTTGAACTATATCGAGTCTTCGGCTGAAATCTGATTGGTGGTGGAACTTTCGAAGTACTTCCCGAAGCTCTGATTCATCGCCGACATTCCCCCTTGCTGCTGCTTGTGTGCAAAGGGCTGGGGCGGCAGAAACTCGATTCTCCAACACTCCCCCTCGCACCAGACCCGAAGCACACATACACCCATGCTGATGCTCCTTTCACATCTCCTTAGCATACACTTCATGCTGCTGCCCACGTCTCTTCCCCTCACACTCCTCATTCTCCTCAAACTGCTCCACTGCTTCATGAAGTGTCATGAGGCCTGCTCTTGCCTTGCACATGTTGAATGCATCATGTGGAAGAACCTTGGTCATGAAATCTGCTGCTTGATCGAATGAACGGCAAAAGTTGACGGCGAGAACTCCCTTCTCTAGTTGCTCACGAATGAAGTGGTACTGCACCTCGATGTGTTTTGTACGCCCATGATGAACCGGGTTCTTGGAAAGAGCTACGGCTGAAGTGTTGTCCACGTAGAGCGGAGTTGGTTGAGTTTGCGGCTGCCTCAATTCCTCCAAGAGTCCACGTAACCAGATTGCCTCCCTTGCTCCTTCGGTCATTGCCATGTACTCAGCTTCGGTTGTTGAAAGTGCCACACAACTTTGCTTGCGCGATTGCCAAGAAACAGCGGCACCACACATGAGGAAGATGTAGCCGCCGGTAGACTTGCGTGTGCTCAATTCTCCCGCCCAATCTGCATCGGTAAAGCCTTGGAGGGAGCTTGCATATGGGCTGGCTTGGAAGAGAAGACCATGATTAGAAGTACCTTTGAGATACCGAAGAGCTCGCTTGGCTGCATGCATATGAATAGGTGAAGGGGCACTCATGTGTTGAGCTAGCTTAGATACCGTGAATGCTAAGTCGGGCCTTGTGCATAGGGCTGCATACATGAGACACCCAACCTGACTTTGGTACAGAGCTAGGTCTTGTGGGGATACCTTAAGTGAATTCTCACCATGATGCTCACTCTCCTCAAGACACAACTCTTTAATACCTATGATATCAAGGCTTGACTCTCTCTCTTCATAGGGCTGATGTGAAGACAAAGGGACAAAATTGGAAGGAAGTGGGGTAGGTGATGGCTTGCTATCATCAAGACCAAACCTCTCAAGGACCTTTTGGATGTACCTTTGCTGGAATAGGAAGATGGACCGTGACTTACGATCTCTCACAATGTTCATACCAAGATAATGACTCGGCTCACCAAGATCGGTCATCGTGAATGCACTCGTGAGAATACCTTTCACCTTGTTGAGAAGATCAAGAGAACCTGAGACTAGGAGGAGGTCATCGACATATACCAAGAGCCAAATGTACTCCCCCTCACTCGTGTGCATGAAGTACAGAGCGTTGTCTCTCATGGACCTTGTGAAACCATGCTTGAAAAGTACCTGCTCAAGAGCATGATACCAAACCCGTGGGGACTGTTTGAGACCATAAAGGGACTTTACCAAGCGACACACTCGACCCGTACCGTCATCATAACCTTCGGGTTGTGCCATGTATACCTCTTCTTCCAAGACACCGTAGAGAAATGCGTTCTTGACATCCATTTGATGGATATGGACACCAAGATATGCGGCTATGGCGAGGAGGACTCGTACCGTGGTGTACTTTGCTACCACGGCAAAGGTTTCGGTGAAGTCAAGACCTGGAATTTGGGAATAACCTTTTGCCACTAACCTTGCCTTGTACCTATCGAGGCTACCATCACCTTTTACCTTGATCTTGTACACCCATTTGACACCAATTACCTTCTTCCCTGGAGGTGGCTCAACAAGACGCCATGTACCTCGCTTCATGAGACTCTCAATCTCCTCTTCCTCGGCTTTCAACCAATGCTCTCTTTCGGGACTTGCCATTGCCTCACGACGACTCAAGGGCTCTCGCGGAAGGTGTGATGCTGCCATGCATATTGCCTCTACCTTCTTGTGAATGCAATTCTCACTCTCCTCACATGTGCACCTTGATGACATGTCAACCATGAAATTGAAGGGCTTTTTTACCTTGCGGACTCGTTTACCTTTACCAAACTCCTCAGTTGGCTGAGACACATTAGTGGTAGGGTTCGGTCTCACAGTGTTTGATTGCGTTGATGCGGTCATTTGCGGCTGAGACAACGGCTGCGACATCGGCTGCGACGGCGGCACGGCTGCTTGTTCTTCTCCTGGCGTGGAAATATCTTGATTATCGGTGTTGACTTGAGGATTAGGTATGGTGACTCGTGGCGGTGAAGCTGAAACGTTTGTCGGCATAGTTGGTTGTGAAGATGCTCTTGGTGGGGATCTTGAGACTAGAAGCTTGGGAATTGATGATGACGCTGCCTTGTCGAGAGGTGGTGATGGTTGGGGCTGGTTGGTGTTGTTGCTCGGTGTTGAAGATGGTGGTAACTGATGACGACCGAATCCGGGACGTGGGGGTGAAGTTGAGAAAGGTCTTGGGTGAAGAAGTGGACTGTTGGAGCTGGTGTTGGTGGTGACTCGCTGAAGTGATCCTCGTGCTATGAGCTGGCTTGATGTTGGAACAAGTGATGAACGTGTGGTATGAGAACGAGGTGTTGCGGTGACGGTTGACTTGTTGCTAGGAAGAGTCGTAGATGGTGTTGATGTAGGTACTTGGGGTCTTGTAGCTGTTGATTGCTGCTGCATGGGATGATGATGAGCTTCTGTAGTTGCCTCTGGAGTGATGGCTGGTGATGGGTTTGATGGCGTAGTGGTGGGCTGATCCGGTTGGCGTTGAAATTGTGAGGTTGGTGTTGATATAGCTGGCTGGTTTGTGACTGTTGGCTGCTGCTCCTTTGGTGGTGATGGAACGGTGACTTGCTGCGGTGGATTGTCTTCATTTGATGGCTGAACTTCATCTCCACTTGGTTGAGTAGCTGCTGGTGGCACTGGCGTGGCACGGTTGGACTCGTTGACGACGGCTTGAGGGAGATCGATGATCGGTCCGCTATGGTCAGAATCGGTGTCATCTTCTTCCTCCTCTTGTGTTGTTTCCTCAGGTGCGCTTGCTGGTTCCTGTTGGATAGAGGATAGAGAGGAGGAAGAGGAAAACTTATGCCAACCTGCAAGGGACATGTCTTCATAGAAGACAACATCCCTTGAAACCACTTCTCGCTTGGTGACAGGATCCCAAAGGACCCATCCCTTGCTCTCATTGCTCATGCCGATGAAGAGGCCCCAATGAGCTTTGTTGTCCAGCTTGAGTCTCTTTGCATCTGGAACACGGTATTGGGCCATGGAACCAAAAACACGAAGCATAGACAGATCTGGTTTAACTCCAAACCAAGCCTCATATGGCGTTACACCTTCCGGTAAGGGCCTTGTGGGTCTCCTGTTGCGAACATAAATTGCCATAGTGATTGCCTCACCCCACCAGAGCTTGTCAAGGCCTTTGAACTGAAGGAAAGTGGTAGCTATAGCCTGGATAGTGCGATGAAACCTCTCTGCCACTCCATTTTGCTGAGGACTATAGGGACAAGTGAACTGTTGTTTGATGCCCAATGCCAACAACTCCCCCTGAAACGCTTTCCCCATGTACTCACCTCCTCGATCCGACCTCAAGGTGAGTAACTTCTTCCCTGACTCTCTCTCAACAAGTGCTAGCCATTGCTTGAAACACTTGTGAACTTCATCCTTGGTGTTGATGAAAAAGGACCACGAGAAACGACTCTTGTCATCAATGAAAGACACCAAATATCTCTTACCGTTTCGAGTAGGGTCTCGCATGGGGCCGAAGACATCAGTGTGGACCAACTCTAGGAGGTCCCTTGACTGAGACTTAGAAGGGAAGAATGGCTTTCTAGCTAGTTTACCTTCCACACAAGATGGACATGGAACGGAAGAAAGGGACTTGACTGCACTTTCATTCAAACTCAATCCTTCCACGCTCTTGTGATTTACCAACTCTTTCAATGCTTGCACTCCCACGTGCCCCAAGCGTGCATGCCATACCTCAGCTTGGGAGATACTCCCTTTGTTGTTGACTTGATCGGTTGAAACAGCGGGAAGCGAGACAACGTCGTTCTTCGTGTTGCTAGCACCGCGCTTAATCTCCAACTTCATCTTGTAGAGCCGCCCGGTACGCTCGCCTTCAGCCACCAGATTTCCTGCACTGTCCCACACTTTGGCTTTCCCCCCTTGCAAGAGAACGGAGGCACCTTTCTCTTCGAGTTGTCCGGCTGAGAGCAAGTTTGCTCCCAAATCAGGAACAAACAAAGCTTTATTGACACAAAATGACTTACCATCCTTTTCGAACTCAAGCTTGCCGACTCCTTTGATTGGTACTTTGCCAAGATCAGCAAGAGTCACAGCTTTTGAGTCATATGAGGGCTGAAAATCCTTGAGAATGGACTGATAGGGAGTCATGGTTTCAGAGCAGCCAC